CCGACCTGGGGCTTGAACTCACAATCCTGAGACCAAGAATCACATGCTCTAGGGGCACCTGGTTGGCTCAGCTGGTAGAGTATGCGACTCTGGACTTCAAGGTTGTAAGTTTGAGCCCCACGTTGGGTAAGAAATTACTTAAAAATAATAAAATCTTGGGGCGCCTGGGTGGCTCAGTTGGTTAAGCAACTGCCTTCGGCTCAGGTCATGGTCCTGGAGTCCCGGGATCGAGTCCCGCATCGGGCTCCCTGCTCAGCGGGGAGTCTGCTTCTCCCTCTGACGCTCTTCCCTCTCGTGCTCTCTGGCTCTCATTCTCTCTCTCTCAAATAAATAAATAAAATCTTTAAAAAAAAATAAAATAAAATCTTTAGAAATAAAAAGAGTCACATGCTCTACCTACTGAGCCACAGAGGCGCCCTGCAGAGAGCTTATTGCAACAATCTTTTATGGGTCTCCATCCTCACTGGACTGGGAATACTGTCTCTCTGACTTTCTAGTGCACATGGGCTAGCCCATAATAAGCACTCAGCAAATGTATGGAGAAGGAACGAATGTTAAGTCCTTATATATATCCATAGTCATAGCTACCATTATCCCACTACCTTGAACAGCCTTGGCAAAGGACTCCTCTCATCCCAGCTCTGGTTTCTTCCTCCTTGTCCAGTGTCTCCATCCTGTTTACTCCCGTTTGCTGCCATCTTGGACCAACAGGTTGGCCTGACCAGACTTTCACTTCTGGGCGGCTCTGGACGGTTTTCTTCTTCCCATTATCAAACCCTCCTGGCTTCAGTCCCATTCTCAGTCAGAGGGCTGTTCTTTGCTGGGTGAAAAAAGCGAATCAGATAAGAGAATCCATATTAATGGGGGTTAATGTTACCTCTCCCAAATACATTATTTTTATGTTAATAGTAATATTTTATGGACAACATCTTCATGCTGTGATTCTCAAGCAGGGTGCAGGTACTCCCTGGGTTGTGCAGGAGTGTGCCAGGAATCCTACAAGCTGTAGTCTACTTAACAATGCACAACCTGAAGGTCTGGGAAAATAATTTTATGTGAAGATAAAAAATGGATATCCTAGGGAGAATATCAAATTTTCATAAAAGTACAAATTTAGAATGAGACCTTGAAGGCCTCAGGTCCCAGGGGGGACAAGTTTGTTCGCATTAGTGTTGGGATGAGTTCTGGGCAAAGACTTGGGAAGCACTAATGGGGTTCACTTCAATCACATACTGAAGACTGGTGACAACACATTTGCAGGGAACAGGGCTAGTGCGGCTGGCAGCTTACAGCAAATCCCAGTGTGCTCAGCACGGGCCTAGGCCAGTGCATCATTTGCAGGTCAGTCATAGGCCCCACTAGGCGGCCTCACCCACTTAGCCACCATCCACCCATTCAATGTCTCCCAGCAGCTCATCGTTGCTCTCAGGGCAGGGAGAACACTGGTGAACCCGTTAGGCAGTTACCGATCCCAAGGAGCTCACGGTCCGGCAGGGAAGGTGCATTAAAAGAAGAGTCATATTATTAAACACAGTATTACAAGAATCGTAAGTATTCCGGAAAGGGGCACAGTGTTCTGGCTGCTGGTGGAGCGGTCGTTTGTCGCTGATCACATTCTCCTTAGAATAGCCCCTGCCAAGCTGGGAAAACTCTTATTTTTATTTTCAGTCCTTAGAATTTTGAAAATAAAGTCATGTCTCCCCCTGCCCCCATGGGATTCTGGATATTTTGCATGTTTGCCAAGAATGAGGCATGATTTAGGAATTTATTATGAAAGGTTTCTGGGAAGATAGGTATATATACATTACGAAGGTCTATTTGAGATTTCAAAGATATTAAAGATACTAATTTTTCATTATTTTCTTCACGGGAGATGTCATCTAGTTTTGAGAATTAAATAAACATATATTATTGGTACTCACTTGTTAAATCTGTACTACCCCACAATATCATTTTTAGAATAAAAGTTTTGAGCTTCCTTCCCCTACCCCCCGATTATTTTTTTCTATCCTTCCTTTTTTTTTCCCTATTTCTCCCCTCTCCCTCCTTTTCTTCCTTCCAGCAAATATTTTGGACAGCCTAACTGAATCCCCACAGTATAGTATCGAGTGGTAAGAAAGCCAGCAAAAGCCATCTAAACCTATTAGACTACACTTCAGGAACAAATTCACCAAACACCATTTTATCCAAATATAACTTGTTAGGAAATGCCTCTTCTGTCAAGCGAGGCTCCCTTGTCCTGAGCACTGACACAAGGACAGATGACATCCCTCCTGCAGTACGCTCCTCTCTGCCTACTGCCGAAAACCTCACCTTCTTTCAAGACTCATGAAAGAACCATTCCAATTAGTGCAGTATACATTCTTCAGGTCCCAGAGGAAATTTCGGATAAAAATTTTGCAGCTCCAACGCTACTAGAAAAATCCTCTGGTGCCAAGATTTAGCCACAGGAGGATTCCTGTCTTTCTCCAGGCAGGTAAACACCCTCTGGCACTTGTCAGAAAATCTTCAGTACTGTGGCTGTATTTGAGGGTTTATGAATACCCTTAACTTTTCTGGGGGAGCTGCCTGGTTCCCCATACACCTTTCTTTGCCACAACCGAGTCAGAGCCAAATGCATCATTAGCTTGGGTCTACACCCCGATGCCCCAGCCTGCGGGAGGCCCTGCGTCCACTCCTGGCTCGCGGGTCCTCCCAGCCCATCAATGCACTGTGAACGAAGCACCTCGAAGAGTGTGAGGGGCCGTGAGCGTTGGGTGAATGGGAATCGTGTTGTCACGTTTTCAATGTCTGAGCTTCGTCAAGTGGTCTTGTCCAGTCGCTCTATTATTTGATTTTAAGAAAGTAAAAAGAAATAGTGTATTAAGAAGTCCCCCTCTGCAGTGCAGCAATGCCAGATGCCCGCTCTCCTAAGGCAGCAGAGCAAATACTTATTCACTACCAGGGTCCTAAAGACAAAAACCATTTCACCATGACTTGCTGCTAAGGTACCATTCAAGACCCAGGCATACCTCGTTATATGGTGCTTCGCTGATACTCTGTTTCTTACACATGGAAGGTTTGTGGCATCCCTGCGTCGAGCAAGTCGATCGGCGCCGTGTTTCCAACAGCAGTGGCTCACTTTGCGTGTCTCTGTCATATTGCTAGTTCTTGCAGTATTTCACCCTTTCTCATTACTATATTTGTTATGATGAGCTGTGATCCGTTATTACAGCTCACCGAAAGCTCAGATGATAATCAGCATTTTTTAGTAATATTTTAAAATTAAGTTCATGTACTTTTTTTTAGACATGCTTTTGCACACTTACTAAACTACGGTATTGTGTAAACATCACTTTTATATGCACTGGGAAACCGAAGCATTCATCTGACTTGCTGTATTGAGGTGGTCTGGGTTGGAACCTGCACTATCTCCGAGGTGTGCCTGTTGTTCTTTCTTAACCAGAGATCACTCTGGTCAGTGAATTCAGTTTCCTCATTCCGCGCTTCTACAACCTGGGAGGGAGAGAGGCTTCTTGGGAGGTGTTGGGAACCCCTGGAGGTGGTTTCATTTGCCTGGACTGGTCTACCTCAGGAATATCTCCGGGCAGCACTTAACTTTCGGAAGGAAAACCCTGAAAACATCTCTGATTTCTCTGTATCTGCAGCTACTCTTTCATCCTGCAGCCCCACACTGTTTCAGAACATTTTGTCAGAGTGACCTCAAGTTAACCCAAGTCCTTAGTTCTGCTTCATAGGAGAGAATCCACAACAAACTCAACTGATGAATTAAAGGCTACAATTTGATTTGAAGAAACTAAGTTTTCTCTTAAAGAATCTGTTTAAAGCAGGTTATAACTTTTTCAGTTTTTTTCTTTTTTTTTTTTGAATGACTGAGTCAGAAACATAAATAACAATCCTTCGGAGAATATTTGCAAATTATCCAACCTAGTGGGATGTGAAGATGAGAAACAAAGTTATCTTTAAAAATATCTAGAACATGTTAATAAATTGCCCAGTAATGTGATAATTATTGTCGAAGATGTTTGAAATTTTTATAAATTTAGCAATTGCATTAATACTAAAACAATGCCAGAACGACTTGGTTAACCAGAAAATCCCTTTGTTTCATCCATTTTTTTTTAAATGTTGGAAACCCCAAGTATAAAGGTTATTTCAGCAAGAGAACTCTCCTGCTTGTATAACTCCACATGACAGCAATGATCTCCGAATTACAGGATCTTAGATCTGTAGGAACCTATGGCAAGTCTCATCCAAACCCATCTCTACAGACAGGACCCAAAACAGAGGTGGCAGATGGCTGCTGAAGGTCCCGCAGCTGAATGAGTGCACAGCCAGGCACCTGGACAGATAGTGCAGTCTACCCACTGCCCCTCCTACCACACAGGGTTGTTTTCCTGCCTCGCGACACGCTTACAGAGGGAGAAGACCACGGGAAATACATATACTGACTCTAGGGCAATAAAGATTCTTCTTGTAATTGTCTTTCTCCTACAAGTGGGATACAGAACATTCCAGTTAGAGACCATGTCTGATAGATTAAAATGTGAAAGTATGCTTACTCTTGCTTTAATAATCCTCTGAAATAGCTTGACAATGGTCCAGCCTTTCTAGGGGGAAGAACCCACTCCCAGTGTTCTGAATGTTTCTGTCATTTGGAAGTCACTGCACAATGGTTAAATGGACCAGAGAACTCCTTATCACCTGGTGTGGGACAGATATGTCATTACTAGAGCACCTTCCATGATTTAAACAAATGAACAAAAAAAAATTCAAATGTAAAATGCTCTCTTTTTAATTACTAAATTAAGAAAGTTAAACAATTAAAAATGTAAACTCACAAATAAATCGTAACAAAAAAGGAATTAAGATTTCAGAGTTGCTACCCAGTATTAAAAACTTAATAGAAATAGGCTTTTTGATTTGTTGTTGTTAAACATGTAATTCAAGGTTGGTACAAACAGCAACTAAAAATGTAATACTTTTTTTTTTCTTTTTTTGGTGCATCCCCATGAAATGTTAAGTAGTGCATAGTTATTCCACTGGAGACTTCTTGGACATAGAGAAAGTCATTTCATTAGCAGTACAGGACGTTTAAAACACTTATTTTACAATGGGAAATGTCCAACCCCCACCCTCAGAAGTTTTAGTTGCATGAGAAAGTTTAGCAGGTCGCCATGACATGACTCTAATGCTACGGGTTTTAGACCATTTAAATGCGGTTACAAGGTTTATTAAATAAAAAAAGTTTGAAACATTTCAGCATTCATATTTTTATACAAGAAGTATGTGTGGTATCCATCTTCCAGTTCCCCTGGTAGTTATTGGCCATTTGCTTGCTTCAATATGCTTTTAGGCTTCGAGAACAAATCGCAGTTAAGTCAAAGCAAATACTGGAAACAGAACTTGGGAATTCAGCTCCGGGGCTGCTTGAAAAGAGTCAAAGGAACAGCCATCTACAGGTACAATCATGAACCAAAAAAGTGCAATCCAAATTAAAAAAAAAAAAAAAGAAAAAAGAAAAAGGATCATGCTTTGCAAAAGCCAAAAAGGAGGCCACTGGTTTGCAGGATGACAGCAGTGCTTTTATGCTGATTTGGCAGTAAAATCCTCACTCTGGGTCCCGAGGCGTTACGGCCCAAGTGGGCCATGGTCTCCACATTAGCACCCACATGGCGTATGTACAGGGACATATATATTATATATATTCATATTATAAAAAAGAAAAAAACCAAACACCTGTCTTGATTGGTTTTTGTTAAAACATGAAAAAAAATTTTATTGTTTTAGACAAAGAGGCCACTTTTGGAAAATAATACTTTTTTTTTAGTTGAATCAGGTGAAGACAGTTAAAATCACATAGGATTTGCATTTTAAAAAAAGGAAAGCACTAGGGTCATTGGCACTGGAGTAACTATTTACACTGAACAGAGGTTTGGCCTTTTACATCACATCGATACAATGCATTTTCCAAAGTCTGAGAAATAACAAGGTTCTGTCTCGTATGCTTCACAGAGGAGGTTCGGATTTGGGGACAAGTGTCATTAATGAGGGCCATGGAAGTTCGTCAGCTTCAGAGTCACATGCAATCTGATCCGGGACGGCTCGCACTGCCCGCGCAGCTGGCTACGGAACTGAAAGCTAATGGGGAGGGGGCGGGGAAGCCTCGCCGGAAGGCCTCTCTCTGCAGACCCCGGTCTCACAGGTTTTCACCGGGCTGGTACTGGGGCTCTGTGGCGGTGAAGTAGTCTTCCAGGAAGCCCTGCAAGTACTCGAAAGTGGGCCGTTCTTCCGGGTCCTTCTTCCAGCAGTGGATCATGAGCTCGTGGAGAGAGATGGGGCAGTCCTGCGGGCAGGGCATCCTGTAGCCGCGCTCCACCTGCTCCAGCACCTCCCGGTTGTTCATGCCTGCAAGACAAGGCAGTGAGTGCGGGGCGCGCCACTCCCCTCTCCTCTGAGGCTGCGCGTGGTGAGAACGCGACGAGCCCGGAGTGGCGGGAGGGGGCGGGAGGGGGCGGAGGGAGCCCGGCCCCTTCAGGGGACACCGCCCGCTCAGAAATGAGCCCAGAGTGTGCCACTGCTGTATGCGGAAAGCTGGGTGACGAATCTCGAAAGCTTCGTAAGTGAAAGGAGCCAGACACAAAAGGCAACGTGCTGTATGATTTCATTTATGTGAAGTTCTAGAAAAAGCAAAGCTACAGTGACAGAAAGCAGATGAGTCGTTGGGGGTGGGGGAGTGCCTGCCAAGGGGCTGCGGGGAAAGGAGGGGTGATGGAAATGTTCTGTGTCAGGGGTCAGCAGTCTACCGCTGTAAAGGCCAGAGAGCAAATATTTGAGGCTTTGAGGGCTGCATATGATCTCCGTTGCATATTCCTATTTTTAATAACCCTTTAAAAATATACAAAACAAAAACAGGTGGGCGTTGGATTTGGCCCACAGACGGTAATCTGTCAGCTCCTGTTCTATATCCTGCATGTGGCGGTGGGGCTGTTTATGCTTGTCAAAACTCACTGTGTTCTTAAAATGGTTGAATTCTGTTGTATGTAAATTACAGTTCAATTAAACTGATGAAAAACTATGAATGAGGCCGACCAAAAAAAAAAAAAAAAGCCATGGACTGAAAAATACACTCTCCCATGTTTATAGCATCTATGAACTCCATCTCTGAACTTCATAAATTCGTTTTCCTTCTGCCCGGGCCAGCTTTTGGTGCCCCACCAGCTGAGATGTGCCATCCTGTCCCCATGGCTGGGCACCGTCTGGCCCAGTGACCCTGAGGTGCCCCGGGGTTTGGTGACTTTGATGGGGAGACAGGGCGCCTCCAGGGCCCGTGTTTACTCATGACCTTGGACAGGCCATCTATCATTTGAGACCTTTGTGACCCTGTGGGGGAGCTGCCTAATGTTGAAACCTCAGGCTGCACCGCACAAACAGGAGACGTTTGGGGGGGGGGGCAGGCAGCCTCTCTGCACTCCCGCCTTCCTGACAGAGCAGGAAATACCATAGGTGGGGTGAGGTGCATGCCCTGACCCCTCTTCCAATCACTGCCAGACACTCTTCTCTACCTCTCCTTCCTTTTCCTGCCGTCTCGCCTTCTGCCACTGCCCGCCAAGCACTTGTATGTTTTGGCTGCTCCTTGGCCCCAAGCTTGTAATCTGGAACCCTCCCCAACTTCTGACCTGGTTTACTTACAAAATCAAGAACCTGATTTCAAGCCATACAGACACCTCGATGTCTTCCCCTAGGTCTCAGGGATATCAGCAGAAGACCACAGCATCTGCATGTAGCAGCTCCCTTTAACTCTGGAGGACCTGGGCCCAGAGCACAACCCCGTCCTGACTTCCGGGGTCTGTTGCCATTCTCTTTGTTTTGTTGTTCCTTTTGGAACTGGGTTTCTCCTGGCTCCCGTGGCTGTGAGCCACGGCCCTGTCAGTCACACGCTTACACGAGCCTTTTTGGGATGCTTTCTTATTCTCTGCCACTGTAACTTCTTGTGATAAAATCCATATATTATTCCTGCTGTGTTGAAGTAGGCCTTCAATTTAATTATTCTAACATAACCTTGCTCCCATTTTGGGAGTGACCCTTGGTTTAGTGAGAGGGGTTTAATGAACCAGGTGCCCTCTTCAGTTGGGTGTTGGGTCAGCTCTGTGGCTAAGTGGCTTAAATCCTCTTCCGACTGCTGAAAACTCATTTCCTTATCCACCATCCCGAAACCCAAAGCTCTGGAAACCCCAAGTTCTGGTAACTCACCTGGCAGCAAAAATGATCGGAACTGACCCCATTTGGCCATAAAACCCAAAGGCTGTTTACTGTTTTTCTGTATTCATACATACTGCTCTAGAAGTAAGAATGTCTCATTTGAATATGGATGTGGCCTCAGCCTCTCGAGGGTGTTATCTGATGGATGGTCTATGCACAGCATGGATGTTCTTTAAAAAAAAAAGTCTGATTCTTGGGCACATCGGGGCCCAAGAGTTTTGGCCGGGACGCTCTGGCCTGAGTGATGGCAGCGATCACATTCCAGCTAGCCCAGAAAGGTTAGGAAGCCAGCGTAATCACGTATGAGGACTGGCATTCTCTGAAGGCTTTGCTTTGTGTTTTACTACAGTCCTTGGTTTCATATCTCAGAAGCCATACGACCTGAACCTGCAGAAATCCCCCTCGTCCCGCCCCTGCCAGGAGCCTGTAGGAACTGGGAGGAAAGACAGGCAGAAGGTCTGAACCTCGGAAGGCCTGATGGGCTCTTCTGGAAGGGGTTTCACCTCCCGCCCGACCCCTGGCCCCAAACGCCTTCTAATGCTTTATTCTGGCATTGAGACTGTCCAAAATGGCACTATAGAGTTTAATTAATCATTCTCCTATTGCTCTGTGGAGCTTATGTCAGTAAATGTTTCATTTCATTAAAAAACAAACTACTCAAATGGAAAGATTTCATGTATTTTTTTTTAAACTCTCAGTTCAATCTCTGACAGTGGAAAGTTTAATTGGCCACTTGGGTCAGGTCTATTTTTCCAGTGCTCTGCCCAAGTCCCAGACACAGCAGACAGAGCGACTTGACCCTACACATGTAGCATCCCCCGAGACAGCCCGCTTCCGGGGCGGAGGTAGCCGGGGGACCCACGCAGGCCACCAGCAGGCCCACACCATCAGTCACATGGCTGCTCCTATTCTCGCTCTGCCTCCTTTCCTGCCTGACTCCTTCCTCCCCTCCTCCCCTTCCTTCTCTCCCCAGGCTTCCTCAAAGCACGGGGACCATATGTAACCAATTCCACACCCTGGGCCAAACCAAAACATATCAATGACAGCTTTGCCAGAAAAGTGGGAAAAAAGACAAGGCACATTCGGCTGACAGTGACAGTGTGAATGGGATCAGCTCTCTTCCCGCCGCCAGTAAGCCAGAGCCCGCCTGGCCGAGCTGCGGAAGGCACCTTCCGCACCCTGCACGGTCTGGAGATGCCCGCTGAGCAAGGCTTAGGCTGGTTTTGACTCTACAAACAATAGCCAGGTTAAGTGGACTGCGTTCATATTTAAAGGAATAGTATTCTCAGCTATAAGAATTTTGATAAATCATTTCAAGAATTTTTTTTACCAAAAATGGGTTTTACTCTATACATTCCTACAGAGATGAGCCTACTTCACTTTTCTTTTTAGATGTTTCATATTTTTGTTACCATAAGAACTTGCTAGTTCCCCTCTTTTAGTCACTTTTCCCAAGACTTTGGCTTTACCTCGTACGTGGGAGGTGAAGGACAGGGACTGGGAAGGGGCTACACATGGGCTTGAGTACCAGGGTGGCCAGAGGAGAGTCTGGAGGGACATGGGGCTGCCGGAAGACGGGAATCTGGTTACCAGACTTCCTACCGAGGTAGCAGACAGCGAGGGAGGAGGGCGCTTGGGAATGTTTTTCCTTTTTCTCCCTTTTCATGCGGGAGATGCTAGCAGAGAAACAGAAAAGACAGAAGCTTGAAAACACGGCATATGGGCACGTTTTAGGGAAACACTGTCATCAACAGTTCGGGCCTCCAGGTTTCTTAGTGGGAGCTGCACCAGAGACAATTTGTCAGCAGGAGGGGGGTCTCTCTGCCACCAGGAGTGCCTGACTGCAGGGGGTGTCACAGTCACGAAGTGCAGCTGGGTGTGTGCCCTGGTTCCCAGCCTCCACATCGGAGGAGGGCCAGCGCCGCCCCAACCCTGTCCTCTTCTGGCCCCCACCATGCAGCCCCTGACTCTCTGTCCTCTCCCTAGATGGGGACAATGGGCCATTTCCATGGGTCACTCCCGCAGGGCACAACTCAGTGGTCCTCAGTCCACAGAAAACCTGCGGGGCCTGCCGTGCCAGGGTTTGCTTTCCAATTCCTCTTCCCTAGGTCCTCCACGGGGCCCCCTGCCACCACGGCTTTCCGGCTTTCCAACACAGTTGCAGAGAGAGCATCATTTCCAATCGGTCTGCCCAAAACCCTGCTGCTGAGACTCTTCAGCCAGGGGGACTGCATTCCCTTCCTGTCATGAGGACCATATTATCCTTTCCAAATCATTTTGCTGGCTTCCTCGTGGTTTCTGCATTAGGGGTAAGCGTCTGACGCTCATTGCACACGGCTGCCAACAATGTAGATTTTCCCGTGTGCCTCTGTTTTCTTTCCCCTCCCCTTCTTTTAGATTTCCCCATTCCTCTCCTTCGAGCTACCTACTAACTCCACAGAGTCTCCCTCCCTCTCTTCTGTTGGATTCTTTGCAGAAGGGAAAGACAGCTCCTTTCCCCCGGCGGAGCCACTCCACTACTCCCCACTCTGCACCTTTCACTGATGACTTGACCTACCCCGGCCTCAGTTTCTTCATTTGTCAACAAAATACCTCCACAGTCACTGTGCTTTCAGCTGTTTAAAAAACAAAACAAAACAAACCCCAAACAGTCTCCTATGAAAGAGGAGGGTTTGGCTTCATGGCCTCCCATTTGTGCAGCTTCCTAAAATATGGATCTCGGAGGGGCCAGCTCTGCACGATCAGGGATTTTCACTATTAGAGGATCAAGCTGCATCTGGATTTGACTATGGGTTGCAAGAACCTGGATTTTTGTGCCACCGGAAAATTGAGCACTGTCACAATGGGAACGATGTGAGGTTATTAGACACTGAGATTACTTTTGCAAACTGAGCTTTCCATTCAAAGGAAATTATGCTCTATTGTGCATAAGGCTTTCGTCAGAGGACCCCCCCCCCCCGCCCCGCTTCTCTGCATAAACCCTGTAAAAAGCTGCTTCTGTTTGCTTGTCTGTGTCTGTTGAGCAGGGCCGTGCTAATGTCAGGGGAAGGAGGGCTGAGTTAATGGTGCTTGCTCGGCACGCGCTTGTGCTACAGACCGTCACGTGCTCCAGGTGTCTTACTAGGCGACAACCAGGAGGTGTCCTG